TAATCAGCTATACGTGTGGTAACTGAGGTGTGTGTGTGTGTGTGTGTGTGTGTGTGTGTGTGTGTGTGTGTGTGTTGATGGGGATTAGTGAGCTCAAGTAGGATGGACTCAGACCAGAATTCCATTTATCATCCAGCTTCTACTACCCTCATTCTGACTGGAGACCCTATTATTAACTTGGATGCTTGATGGTGGAGATGTTCCATGTTCCAGCATCCCCCAAACTGTTTCTTTTCTCTCTTGGTGAAAGGTAAGAATATGTACTTCTTACCTCATGGCACTACCCTGGGAAATTCCCTTCACTGGGGTAGCTCTGTGGTCAGACATCAGGGAGCATGCCTGTAGTCCTACCCCTCTAGAAACAGGTGAGAGGAAAGTTGGAGCCCAAAAATGCAAGACTAGCCTAGGCAACATATTGAGACCCTGTCTCAAATGAAAGAAGGCAAGGGAGTGAGGGAGGGAGGGAGGGAGGGAGGGAGAGAGGAAGAGAGGGAGGGAGGGAGAGAGGGAGAGAGGGAGGGAGGGAGGGAGGGAGGGAGGGAGGGAGGGAGGGAAGGAGGGAGCTCCAGATCTGTGCCCTGGATCAGATGTGGGAATTGGTAAGGGAATGTTCCTTTCCATTGTGGCAACTCAGGCCTGAGTTCTCCAGATTTTGTCAATTACACCAATCAATAGGACTAGAGTAAGTTGCCCATTATTTCTGACTCAGTCACATCGTAAGCAATTATGCCCACATCCTCAAACTAAGCCATTCTAATATCCATTGTGACTCTACTGTTATGATGGTAGACATGGCCACACTATCTGGCATTTAGGTACCTCTCCAGCCTCAGCCTGTGACACTATTATTCTCTTCTCCCATCATCCTCAGCACTTTTTCAAGCATCTGGTGGTCCTTACCAAACAGTGAGGGAAAAGCAAAAAATGACAAAACCCCTAACCTTAGTAGCTCCATAAGCCTTTTGATTCTCACAAACATGTTATTCCAATACTTTTCTGATTTCCGTCTTATTTTAAGTAGGCTATAAGTCCAGGTTCAGTTAGACAGCTGACAAACCATAAAGCCACTCCTCACTGGGGAGTTCTAGCCTCAACTCAAGAATTCCTTGTACATTATACAACTATCAACAATTTCAATTCATTCCATGTATGTGTCATCCTGCCTTGGTTAGTGTCCTGAGAATCTATTCCTATGTGTTACTACAGATAAAAATCAGCCAAGTCCTACCATTGCTCACCATACAATTCTCCTAGATGCAATGGCACAGCCGAGTGGAAAGTATCATGGGAAGGGTAGCTACCTTGGTTAAACTCATAAGATTTCATGTAACAAAGGCCTATGTCACCTGATAAAGGAAGAAGCCTTGCTTTAATTGGTCAGGCCTAGGTCAAAGGGATTGAGAGATTCAGGTTCTCATGTGCAGCCAAATCTACACAAATGCAATGCAGTTCTTTATATCCCTGTCATTTCACAACCAAAGTCACAACATTCGCACAGAAAACTGTTGAGGTTGTGGACTTAAGTTTTGGCTCTTCAACCCACAGGAATAAACTTTGGATCTTGTTTGGAGGCGTTTTGGGTTTGTAAGTATGAAGCACCAGGAAGCCTTTTGCAACAAGATGCTCCTTGTCCTACTCTGGACCAAGAATTTTAGATGTGAGCTAACTCTGTGATCTGTGGTGCAAGCAGGGGCAGCCTTGTCACGAATCTTCATGTCCCTCATTTGCATCATAACGGTACAATACAGCAAACATTTGGTCTGTCAAATGTTTGCCTTTAATTACAATCCCATTCTAGATGACCATGGGTCAAAACTTAGCTACATGTCTCATGGAAATACTATTGCATTTCCCACTGAACATCAAGTTACTACTCCCTATAACAACTAACTCCACATAGTTTTAGAGTCATTTCTTGATCATGTTTAGTGCTGTATACATGCTGAGTTATATATAAGGTCCAATGGAAAAGATACCATTCAAGGTATCTCAAACACACACACACACACACACACACAGAGAGAGAGAGGGGGGGGGATTAAATGCTCTTAAAATTAGTAACTTGGAAATATGAAGGTCAGAAAACCTCCTTTAACTTTGACTTCAAATGTGTATGACTGCACCTGCATGACTGATGTTACTAGAACTGTCTGCATCCACAGCACTGATGTAGACAGCAGAGCATACATGCTAGCACAAGAAAGTGCTTCTGCCTTCTTAAAGTTTCAGTCAATTGCCTTGCGGTGACAAAAGTTGTCAGAGAAACACAGTTCACAAAGGAATGGAAGAAATGGAAATTTAGTTTTTCATTCTCTGCAATGCCACAGGAAAGCAGGAAGAGCACCTCAAGCGGAATGGATTCATTGTGCCAGTCAATGTCTAACACACTATCAAAGATGGAACTAGAATTATGGAATAACTAATCTTTAGGGTAGGCCTCTGGGATGAAAGCTCCAAATCTCAACTGTAAGATATCTGTTCTGCAAACTTATTTGGATGCTCTTTTGCCTCGTCGCCAGGATATTTTCTTAGTTCAGAAAAACATTAGGTTTCACTTTTATAAGGGCTGGCCATAATTCTTCAAGCAAAACCACAGCTTTTTTTTTTTTTTTTTTAAACACAAACTTGAAGAGAGGTTATTTTCTCTTTGGTGATCACAAAACATCTTTAAAATTTTCCTAATTAGAACTGAAATTAGAAAAACATGAAATCTAGGGATGTAGCTCAGGGGTAGAAATATTGCCTGGTATGCATAAGGCCTCAGTTTGATATTCATCACTGAGGGACAAAAAATATATATTAAATATCTATGAATGGAACTATTTATGAAGAGCTAGTGCTCTTAACTATATAATGTGCCTGTGGAATGTGTTGTCCAGGATGCCCAGATTAAGGACATTAGAACGTAAACCACAAGGCGGGGCACAACTTGTTAGCATAATGCTTCCATATCATGCAAGATGATGACATCTAACCACTCCCTCATTTCCAAATAACTAGGTAATCATTATTCTTGAAAGACTGGTTTGTAGAATCCTTTCTTCACAGGGAGGAGAGACTCGGTTAAATCTAATGTATCACAGGTGACAAAAGAATTTTAACTAGTGCTTTCCTTCAGCCCCTGGCAAACACAAAGAAAGGAATTCTAAACAGAGAAGAGGAACAAAGAACTTGTGTCTAAAACAGAATGGAAGGAAGGATGGTTGAACAGGAAGCGGAGGGAGCAGGGGAGAATTCAGATGATTGAGGTGAAACTTTAAGGAGGAAAGAGCTGAGAGAATGGCTCAGTGTGAGAGGTGGCCCACTCTGATGAGATGGAGAGGGGGGGAATATTCACTCTGATGGGATGGGGGGGGGACTATTCACTCTGATGAGATGGAGAGGGGGGACTATTCACTCTGATGAGATGGAGAGGGGGAATATTCTGCCCCAGTAGGCGACATATAGTGCTCAAATTGGTGAGGTATCAGTCAGTAGAAAATCATTTCTACTTCCAGGTGTTTTGGTTTCTTTGTTTTGTTTTCCTCATACACGGAGTACTTACATTGCATATATAGAACAAATCTACAAATTAAGAGTTTCTTTTTTACAGCTGTCCACCTCATCTTTTATTTTTAAAAGCCTAAAGCTTAGATATGTCCAAGAGACGTGTAAGAAACTGGAAACAAAGCAAAAGCAACAACTCTGGAGCTAAGCTCCAGAACATTAAATTCAGGTGCAGTTGTTAGGAAAATCCCTTTATGCTGTCAGACAGAAATGCACTCTCACAAGTGATGGCCATCTCTGCCTGTCACCATTAGCATCATCTCTCCTGTGTAGACCTCATTAACACAGTCACCTCAGTAATGGGAGAACCTAGAGCAGACAGACACCAGCCTGGCAAGCAGCCTGCAGCCTGCCGAAGCCCACAGGAGCAAGCCAACGGCTCTGCTAACTATAATTTTTTTCTCACACTAGCGAACCCAGGGGCACAAATAAGCAACGTTGCCAAAGTGCCACCAAGGGACAGCTGTATGACTCGGTCATAATGTCTCCTTTCTTTCTTCCTGCTCTTCGTTTGGGGGATTGAACAGGAAAATCACTGAAAGCCCTAAAAGTCTCTCATGAATATCTACCTGCCCCGGGCTTTTAGGACGCCCTCTGAGGACACTGTGGCTCCTGTCCCTCCCTAAGCAACAGCCCTCAGTCACAAACAACAGAATCCACTAGCAAGAGCCGTGACAGTTCACTGGAACAGTTCATGTTTCAAGACATGAACATCTTGAATGTTCAGATGCCTGGAGTGCGGAATGGAAGAATGGATGAATTAGTAATGCTGAAGCGTCTGTCCGGACACCGATACCAGTGCCGGAGTGGCGGGGGAGGGAGACTACAGTCATTTACTATACTGGAAAGCTGGCTGTTTCAGGTGTTTATAGTCAAATATGAGGGTGTGCAAACATTTAACAATTCTCTATTTTCTACTTAGGAAGGTATTTTCAAGAAAGACATTTGAGTACAAAGGAGGTGGGACCCTTGTTCACTGGGTGTCAGCAGCAAGGCATATGACTATCCTGTGATGATTCAGAAGTTATCAAAGCTATTAAGAAACCCTGTCATTTTGGCATTTAAAGTCATCTTCCATAAACTTATAGGAAGGACTTCGTGATTTAAACATGAGATTCTAAGAGCCTCCTCTGGATTATTTAGAATATGTTTCATGTCTGAAAGCAAATAGAGCTAATTTTTAATAATAATAAAAAAAACATAAAAATGAGTTTTTAGTTCTTCTGTACTCCTGTAATCCCAGGACTCTGGAGGCAGAGGCCAGTGGAGAGTGAGTTCATGGTCAACCTGAGCTACATAACAGCACCCTGTCTCAAAAATAAACAAATAAATACATACAAAAATAATAAACTTTGAATCAAAAACTCAGAGGCCCAAGATCTAGTTCCATTGCTTGTAAGAAGTTGTCAACAGAAAATAAATTAGAACAGAAACAAACTGATTAACAAAAAGAATCACTTTTCCCACGGCAGTAGTATATTTATTGTGCTGAAATCGGATAGCAGGGAATGAAGGGGGTCTGGGAAGCCAGTACAGAATGTTCACAAAGATTTACACATCTCTAGTCATTACACACTGGCGAAAGACAAAGTGTTGAGTCTCTTAGACCGCACTATTACTGTATGTGCTGCTAATTTTCTGCAATGTTCATGACTGCATGCCTTCAGGGAAAATGGAATCTCAATGCACAATAAATATAGTTTACAAAACATTTGGAAAGTCTGTACAAACAGCAGACATCCTCCTACACATGCAGTTTCAACAAGTTGGAAGGTTTAGAAATATTCATGCTATTTTTGTCATATTTTCTCTTTCCACATGATCCCTCTGTGACATCCCATAACAAAATAATCTGTTTTTAAAACAATGTGGAACAGCATCACTTCTGCAGCTGTTGGTTGTTTATTCCTATTACATGAAATACGTCTTGACTTTTTTACAGTTGTTTGTTCCTATTACATGAGATACATCTTTTTCCCAGTTGTTCATTTGTAGTACATGAAATACGTCTTTTGTAAACACCGAATTTGACTTGAGAGACCTGACTCAGACTCAGGCTCACATTTTCTCATCTTGCAATTACAGGTAACACCTTGTACCAGCAAGCACTGAATTTATTGATCATTAGCACCAAGGAGTCAAGGTATTGCACCAAAATGCGTTGATACTTCATTTCTAGTTAATAAAGAAGGTTTTGCAATGTTGTCATAGGGGAAATGAGCATCACACAAAATGAGACACATCGAAAGAGATGGATGACATCACAGAAATGTTTGGTATGTGCTATTTGTAAATAAAATAAACAAAAAAGGAAGTCTAAAAGTTAAAATTAAATTTTACATTAGAGGACTCCTTGATTTGTTTTAAGTAAAATTTATTTCATTTTATTTTAGTTAAATGTTCTTTCCAACAGAAGAGGTAGGTGTATGTCCACATATGAAAAAATCAGCAACAGCCACAAATCAAAACAAGGAAAGCCTGATATAATCAATATGCCCTTAGAGTTCTAACTGTGTATAAATGTGACTACCTTAGATGTTACTAACAAAGACATGAGTTGTTTCATGTTTCAATCATTCAATAATTTTAATCCTCATAATACATTTCTGCTAACAATACGAGTATTCAAAGGCTACCTTCCTCATCACAAAAACAAAATAAAAAAAAATTGTTTCCCACAGTGATTTGCGCCGTTATGTCACGGTGGCCTTTGGGTCACAAGACAAGATTTTACTGGTTTTCTTTCTTATTTTCACCAACACCATCATCATCATCAAGCCTCTAAGATTCTACAGAGATTAGCAGAGTTTTCAAATTTAATTACAGCCAAAAGGGACTATTCCGACTAGAGGTGGAGAGATTTGACCACAAGGGTCAACAAATGAATCCAAATTCAAATGTATCCACAACTCTATCTCTGGACAAGAAAACACCAGATCTGCAACCAGTGGGGAACTGGTAATTTAGAGAAAAAAAAAAAAAAAAAAAAAACTTTTTTTTTTTCCATAAAACTGTGTTTCTATGATCATCTAAAATTCAGACTGAAGAAGGGGTGAATGTAAGATGGGTGACATTGTCACCCACTGAGCAGGTGGGTGTGAACAGGAGGAGGGGCTCCAATGTCACATTGGGATTGCTTTGGTCTGGACAACTTCGAGGCTAATATAAAAAAAAAAAGGTGTTTAAAATAAAAAACTTCATAAATAAAACATCTGGGTAGCATTTGGAAAGGTCTGCTCAATCTGAAGGTGCACGGAGCACATCTGCCTCTCTCCCCACACCAGGCCCTCTGCTTCTGTTGCCCCTGAAATTTTATATGACACAGGAGTTTCCTCACTGTCAACCAGGTAAGGCCCAGGTCAGTCTACTCCCCTTTTGGCTTTCCATTTTTCTGGGGTTTCCCATTTTCTAACACTAGCTGCTTTTCTGACTTGCTCACGCCATTTGCTGAAATACCATTCACGGCTGCCTTTCCAGGTTTTGACTGCTTGGGTTCATTGTACGTCCGGGTGTAGAAGTTGAGAAAGAGGAATATGAAGCTGATTGCATAGGCGATTAGTGCCCAGTGCATCCACTTGGGGAAGGGGCAGTCAGTGTAGAGAGACAGTGCTGTGTGCCCAATGGTGACGTGAAACTGAACCTGAAAAACAAAAGCAGCAGTGCAGGGAACATTTAATCACGGAAGTAAACAGCGTCCAGTGCCGGCGTCACAGTCTCCCACACAGGGCCTTACGCACTGTTTGAAAGGTTATCAGTCTCGGCCTCTCTCCCTAAGATTACAGTTCCAACACCACCTGCTTAACAAGAGCAGTCTAGTGGTTTCCATGGACCTTCCACCCATCACAGCACTTTTGTGTCTTGTTTTTAAAAGTCACGTGATAGCCATGTGTAGCTGCCCCTGTGTCTGTTGACTGTCTACTGTCTAACTCTTCATTAGACTGTAGCTCCAGGAGGCAGGGCTCCGCCTTACTCAATGACCATTTCTGAGTCCTTGGCACTGAATGTGGACATCTGAATACTTGCTGAAGGGCATCAGAGGAGAGGGAAGCAATGGCTGACAAGCATAAAGGGAAAGTATTTGAAGGCTCTTTTTTAAATTCCTACAGCTTAGAGTTCTTTTTTCTACTACTAAGCTATCGGCAAGTCAATACATTCACTGTTTTTTAATTAAATTTTTAGGCAAGAGCGCGCGTGTGCACACACATACACACGCGTGCACACACACACACACACACACACGGGCACACACACACAAAATGGGGTTCTTTAACATTGTCATACATGTACACCACTTTAATTGGCTCAGCTTCCTTCTAAATACTCCCATGTCACATGAAGCACATTCACCTTAAAGATGAACTTGAACTCATCTGGCTGGCTCACGGCCTCTCTCTGGCAGCTAAGGACCCAGAAAGTTCTTATCAGAATGAACACCACTCTTTAAAAACTTACATTCCAATTAAAATCAGTAAGCATAAAAAGATTCACCTTCAGTTTTATGAATCATCAAGAGAGAAATTCAAAAGGTAGACATGCTCAAATGATAAATTCTGGCACACTAGTCACTGAATGGGCTGGGGCACAGAGCTACAGGTGCTATAGCATTAGCAAGGGTTGTACCTTGTTGTAAGATCCATATGATTTAAGAGTTTGGAACAAGTCTGACCCAGAAATTGAAGTTCAGCATCCCATCTGTAATGTGCAACTACGGTTTCTTTGAGAAAGATAGCATTACCCTTATATTTCTTTCATTAAATATTAAGGTAATTTGTTCCATACACATCATCTATTTATATTAAATTTAACAATTCCCATGGCAAAAATCCAAATTTTTAGAACTTTTGATTTCACAATGGCTCTTAGAACCTGTACCACTGAAATAGGGTGTGTATAGGGTGTGATTGAGTGTGATGTGGCTGGAAGAGAGCCCAGGCAAACCCCAACAAAAGAGACTAAACAATTTGTATGATTTGGGTTACCTTTTCATTATCTTGGGACCACTTAACTCTTACTGAGAACAATGAGTTCTACAAACTGTATCAAGCTTCCACAAATTCTGGAAATTTCTTGGAGCATTTCTTTCCTAATGAATCCTTAACACCCAGCATTCCCCAAAGGTTGTGGTTCCTGTTTGGTCAGGCAGCTATGTAGCAACTCAAGGCAGAGATGGATATTTCTAAATGCGATCCCACTGATAAAAATTGTGTGTACACTATGATTAAAGCATATTAGAATACACTCTGAAGCCTGGAGATTAGCTACCAGCTTGGATTTGCATTTTCAGTTTGATTACAAGGCCACACCCAAGTTCTCAACAGTGCTTTGATGGGATACAATGAGAAGCCCTGCAAGGAAGAGCTGCTGGGAACCATCTGCCTGTAACACTAGGAGTTCAAATCCTTGGCTCTGCTCTTCAAGCACAGTTTTACAGAACTAGAAAGAGTTCTCTATCCTATGTTCAAACTCTTCCCCAACCCATACTATTCCTTGACTTTGTGCTTTCTCTGCTATGTGCATAGGCACAGGGTCTGTTAACAACAACCAGTAAATGGAGAAACTGGAAACTTAAGCAAGAACAAATGAAATAGTAGGTTTGGGGAAAAAATAGTCAACTCATGGAAAGTATTTTCTAGTCACCCATAAATTTATGTACTTTGTGGCATATTTACATTTTAACCATCCTTTCCACAAGTAGTTTTACAGACCTTCTCACAGAGGAACGGGTTCTGAAGTCCAATCTTAAGGGTATTATAAAGTAAGTGGCTATGGCCAATCCACCCATGAGTTATTAAGTAGAACCAAGCCAGCCTTGACACTGCACCTTGCTTATAAAGTAGATTTTGTGAAGGAAAACAATCTAAAACAACTTAGCACTGGACAAATAATAAACTTCAAGTAGTTTAAGTATTTTGATCTTGGCAACAACCAGAACTAACTTTTCAAAACATTCAACTCACCAGCTGCAGCATGGTAAGGTATCGCTTCCACCAAAGATATTTCTGGATCCAGGGGCCGAATGCAGTCAGTCCATAATAGGAGTACATGATCACATGGATGAAAGAATTCATCTGGGCCCCAAAAAATGCTGTTGAGAAATAAGAGGCAATTGCAAGAACAGTGTTACCGGGCAATGAATGGCTCTGAGATTAAAAAGTAAACGAATCTACATTACTTTCTATTTTAGTCTCAAATCTAAGTTAAGCAATACTGAGCAGGAAACTTCTCAAATTAAGCTTGATGGGGTTTTTTGTTTCGTTTTGTTTTGTTTTTTTAGTTTTGTGGTTTGTTTGTTTTTTTTATAATTTAGCTTTGAGGGCTTCTTTTTAAAAGAAATAAATTAAAATTTGTATTGCTGAAGTGCAATGCATTTTTTGAAGCAGTAAATTTTCAAATGGGGTACCTCAGTGAGCTACATTCAGCAAACAATGTAAAATGATGCTGCCGCCTCCTACTTTCCTCTATTTTAATCCTACCTAACAGCAATTCCTTGGAGAGAGGCTATGGTGCCTCTAAGTGTTTATGGAGACTTGTAATACGTTACATTATAGTCTCTAGAGACACCAATGTGCACACCCGTGGCAAAGTAACACTCATTTCTTAGGTCTCTACATAGTGTTGTTAAACATGACAGCATTACATACATTGAATGATGAATCTGTTTAGTTATACAGATCTAGCCATATCCTTACTCAGTAAAATATAACAGAATTCTTTCTCTTTAGAATACTAAGTATAATGCCTTTTGCCAAGATGTGAGCTGTGGGACCAACTGACATTTACTAAATATCCTTGAAACTCAGAGTTTCACTTTAAATTTACTAGAAATTCTGAAGTGTGAAATGCCCAGATTGCAAATAGTGACATAACGGCACCTTGTGCCCGGAGGAAAGGGCTCTTCCCAGCCCACCCTGTGTATCACCCTTAGTCTACAGCCATCTGAAAGATTAAACTAGAGGTCAATCTCCACCCATGTGTGACTTCTCTCCTCTGTAGCATTAGTGGGCTATGTAAAAGTTCACTTAAATGAGAAGCAGTGAGGTTATTCGAGGTCTGTAAACTGAGGGCTTGGACTGAAAATGAGGCACTGTGTGTCAAGTTTCCGTCAGATCAGAACTACCACTCCCCATGCAAGGTAATAGTTTTCTGGCATTCCTGCTTAGTGGTTTATGCTCATCTTGGGGGCAAGTCTTTAGGTGCTCAATTCTTCACAGATAAAGAGGTGAAGTTTTTAAGAAGTGAGATGAACATGGAGATGATTACCCATGAAAGCAAGTTAAATGACCCACTAGATAAACTGACTTTCCCTCCTTGGGGACCTCATACAGGCAGGTGGGATCCTCACCTTGGCCCCCTGCCACCCACTTGATTCCAATCCACCACAGTGTGAACATTGTGCAGTGATGGTATACATGAAGGAAAGACACCTGGTTGTTTTTCTTTCTCAGGATAAAAAACACTGTATCCAAATATTCAACTCCTTTCGATACAAAGTACCACCACAAGGCAGCAGCTATCTGTAAAAGGGAAGAAAGGGAACAGTGTCAAACAAAATCCTCCTATTGTGCGGCTTTCTACCAGGTATTAGTAAATGCAAAACGGTGCACACACAAAATGTACAAGGTGTGCAATCATGCTGTCACCAAGTATGTTGATACCTAACCACATACCCACCAGAAGACAAATCCAAAGCTTTCTCTACTTAGAGCCAAGCAGTGGCTACCTGCTGAGACGACCTAGCCATAGCCACACTACTATGGTTTGCATCTTGTAGAGAAACCAACATACCTGTGTATAGTTCAGGGTTTCCTACAGAGCCTATGTTTATGTAGCAGCTAGTGTATTACCATCTCTCTCTCCATTCCCCTTAACTATGCAGGGTTTCCAATCACTGTAGCCTGTATTAGTAAAATCCTTTAAATGAGCAATTAAAAAACAACAACTATTTCCTAGGTCACAAATATAATCCTGTTTACAAAGGTAAGTCTTTTCTCAGGCTCTAATTAAGACACCAGATGGTACAACAAGATTATGTGGCATGCTGGGGGATTAAGGATCCAGCAAGAGGTGACCTCTATATATGTTTTCAATCATTCTACAAGGGTCTAATTGTAACAATGAACAAAATGTAAGCTTCCTATAATAAACATTTTCTAAATCCCATATCCCACATAAATATATGTAAAAAAAAAAACTTTAAAGTCAGTTTACAACTGAAGTGTATTTATAAATCTTACTGTGACAGAGGGCTAAGATGCCTTCCTCAATGTATACCTGAATCAAATGCTTATAATGAGTTTTCGTTTGTTTGTGTGGTTTAGGATTTTTCTTTTGAAAAACAAAATTCTTTCTTTTAAGTGCTGGGATCATAACCAGGGCTTCAAGGCAATTTAAAGTTCTTAATTCTAGAATCATGCATCACTTAGAATAAGCATTCTCTAACATTACAATTTTACAACATGGAGGAAGAAGAGAAGAGAAAGACCAGAAACAAAAGAAAACATCATGTTTAATAGGCTTAAAAGCCTTTACTCAATCTAAGCAGTACTGTTACAAACCATGACATTAGCTGAAAATCTGCTTGACATGGTTTAGTTTATCCACACTATAAAGTCCCTACTTAAGTTGCTGTAAGACAAAGTAACTACCTGTTTCCTCCCCGTGGACCTCTAAAGCTCCCCCAGTTCACATGTAACCATATTAGACGGTGAGCTGCAACTGGTTATCTTTGAATGGGATACCTCAAAATGAGGTTTGACACATGCTGCATGCAAGGCTTACAAGAAAGAGTCTGAGTAGTGTTCATGATACCATGTTCACTCTTAGACCTGAAAGGTAGGCAGAATGAGACTTCAAATGCAATCTGTTCAATTATCAGATTTTTTTTTTTGTCCTAGATAGGTTTTCACAATAGCTCATTTTTTGTTTTGTTTGTCTTTGTTTGTTTGTTTGTTTGTCTGAAAGAGTGCTGCTGAGTTTGACTGTGTGGGATATCCACTCACTGAAGTGGTTGAAGTCTGAGAGTGTCAGCAGAGTGGATTCACAACTAGCAGGATGGAAATTTGGCAGCTTTTCCCTATATTATGAACACACTGCCTGTCCAAGGGACTTTCTAAGCATCCTCCTGAAAGAAGGGAAGTCGGCCGCTTCTCCTTTTCCCACCTTTAACAAGAAGCCAGCTCCCAACTTGGCAGATTCTTTGGCAATATAGCAATCAGAAGAAAATCTGTCTCTTATCCTGTGAATCTGAATGAAGCAACCTCCCTCATTCTCCCAGCCACGCCCCGGGTTTTATTTTCTTAACTGTTTCCTGACATGCTGATAACCTGCCTCCCGGCCCTTAGCAGAGAATAGGAGCATTTTTCAGGGAGAGACTTAACCTATCTTTTTGCTTCTGTGGTCAAAGCCCTGCCACTACATGGAAAGAATGCAGACTCAACATGCGTGTACTGAGTGAATGAAACCAACATGATAAGCAAAGGTGTGAATTTTCATCTGTCTATATGCCTTTTAGTAGGGAAATTACAGGGACACAAAGTACTAACTACATTAGAACAATTTAGTTATGGTTCTTGGTGAGTGTCTATACATCTACTTCCTAAAATTCATGCCAAAAAGAAAATGTTCTCAATGAATGTTATTATACATATGTAATATTATTGCATGTATATATAAAGCAGATATGTGGAACATACAAAACATGCATTTGTATGTAAACTACGTTTGAATATAATTTTATAGTGATCATGGATACAAGAGTTCATTAAATATTTAATAAGTTGTTCCCTCTTCCACTTAAATGATAACTTTACTAATGTAGGTAACTGTAAAAAGAAAATGTAGCATTATATTAGTAATGGGTTTTTTTTATAAATTTAATAAAGACAAACTTCATATCCATATAGTTTATTCTGTTTCTTCCTAAATATTATATGATTAAAATATTTTCCTCAAATAAGTTAAGCCTTCTTTCCCAGTTTCTATTTCTGACACAAAACTTTAAAAACAAAATTGGAAATAGAGTTCACTATATAGCTCTGAATGGCCTGAAATTTGTTATTGAACTGGGTTATCCTTGAACTCACAGAGATCTACCTTCTCTGGTGCTAGAATTAGAGGTGTGCACTACCATGCCTGGCAAAAATTGAAAATACTTTCTACATCAAATACAGAACAAACTACTTTAAAAGTACTATATATTATCAATTCAACAACTGCTTGTAGTATTTTGTGACATACTTACCCTGACTTCATTAACATTATTAGAATAATCCACTGTCTGACAAATATAGCTGTATCCTGCGTTGTATGATCCCATGAATAGCTGGGAAGAAAGGAGTAACATTTGGAGTGAAGGTTTGGTAGACACAGCATCGAAAACAGTAAATCCAACTCACAATCTTTCAAAGTATTTTGAAAGCAGTTATTTTCTTTAAAAACACTGCAACTGCATTAAACATTTGAAGGTATTTTGTCATTGTTTTGTGGTGTGGGGCATCAAACTCAGGACTCACATATGCTGGACAAATGTACCAATGGAACTACATCCCCAGTCCTTGAATGGACATGTAATATATTAGAAGTTCTAAAATTCTCTGTGTGGCACCTTTTACTATAATTTTAATACAGACCAAATTTAAAAACAAGCATATTCTTTCTCACAAGACATCAACTCCATCAAACACATAATATTCATTCGCTATTTAAAGAATAGTTTACTAGTTCCTATCATTAAACTTGCTTAGGCAAGACCTTACATATCTAGCACGGTGCACTATTTCTATAAAAAATAAGAAAAATACATTTAATATTCCTACAGCAGTATAAATGCTGATTCTATACAATGTCAACTCAATCAAAGAGAAACTTTTACAGCCACTATGCTGTCTAGTTTTATGTCAACTTCACACAAGTTAGAGTCATTTTGGAAAAGGGAACCTTAGTTCAGAAAATGTCCCCACCAGACTGCCCTGTGGGCAAGTGTGCAGAGCACTTTCTTGATTGACAGTTGACCCGGGAGGGCCAAGCTCCCTGTCAGTGGTGCTGGCCCGGGGCTGTTTGTTGGTCTTGGGTGCTATAAGAAAGCAGGCCAAGCAAGCCAGTGAGCAGTGCTCTTCTGTGGCTTCTGCCTTAGTTCCTGCCTTCAGGTCCCTAACCTGACTTTGTCTGGATTGTTACCTTGAAGTGTAAGATAATTCTCTAGATACTGAGGCAAGACCTGTCCCGCCTTAACTGATTTACACCTTGATCCAAAGTGGTGTGTGCCCAGCAAACTAAGTGAAGGTATCCAAAGAAAGCAAATGAAAGTGTGTGTGAGGCTGAGATCCTATCAGCTTAGTTGTTGTTGGAGGCTTGTCTAAAGAAAGCTTAATTTTCTTAATGCCTGTTGTTTGGTATCAGCTCACACAGAATTTTAAGAAGTCTCGTAGGAACAAACTCCTCAGACTTTAGCAACTTGAAATGTGCCAATCCAGCCTGCAGGATTTTCTTTCAAAATACCCTGAAGAATTTGCTGATGTCCAGAAAATGGTGATGATTAGCAGCCACACCTTCATGACAGCCAAATCCTTTCAGCTCCAACACATAACAAACACAGTAAGTTACATAAGATTGGACAGCGTAAAACTGGTACTTCCAAGTATTTGGATCGGGTGTCAGGCCTGAAACTGATGAAGAAGGGCTCCGGGTAGCTCCTATGGCTCACCAGGTACTAAATATGTGCCAGACACCCTGAAAACTCACCTCCCTCGCCTCTAACGATAGCCTTCCTTACTTGGCAGGTGTCTCCCCATTTGAGACATGAGAAAGACAGAGCTAGGAGTAGCTGGGTAACTCCCAATGTCAAAACTAAGGTATGCTGAGAGTCCATTCTGTGCTTCAAAGTCTCATCTAAACAGCCACCCCACACTCCATTTCCTACTTCTGTTACCTAGAAACTTTAAGCTCAAAAAAGGACTCTTCCAGTAGCTATCAGCCACTCCGAGGTGCGAGGCTGCAATGGCAGTTTCAAGTGTCTCATTTTTACATCATTCCCAACAATCCTAGGGAACTATTAGAGTGACGTTAATAAACCTACCTCTCTGAAGATGAAAAGGTTAAGCAAAACCATGCCAAAATTATAGATTATGAGCACTAAGCGCATTTGAAATGGCTCCCGGTCTTTCATCCACTTTGGACCCAGCCACACGAACAGGAGATACAGTGTGCTTATACTTAGCGTTGGCCATGGAGACTGCATCAGCGGCCAGTTTTCTACACGTTTATCTACGGAGAGAATGGAAACAACCTGGAATTTACTGAGCAATACACATTTTACAAAACAAAATGTTCGTCCTAGTTTCTTAATTGGAGTAAGCACAGATCTCTGTCCCTATAAAAATATGTGGTATATAAAACAAATACAGACACTACCAACTCCTACATGTATCAGTGGAAAATCACTTATTTACATAGGTTACAAAATATGTTTTATAAAGGATCAAAGAAACAGAAGAAATGAACTAAAAATATAGGCGATATGCTTAAAATGAAAGTGAAGACTTCATACCTTTAAAATAACTGATTTGAGGACATATTCAGTTTCTGCGCTAGGCATGTAAAATGTATCATGCACTATGGCACTGTTCTCTATGTCTACTCCTAAAGCAAGCATGAATCAGACTGATGAGGTGCCAGGCAATGGAAGCCAAGAGATGGGATAGGAAACAAAAGTTGCCAAGCAATCACACTTGTGGAATTAGGGTAATCTCTTTACAATTCAAATTTAGCATAAATGGGAGCCATATTCAACATATGTTTGCTACTTTTTCATTGACCATGTGTATCGATTTTACTACCTATGAAAAATGTATTTCTATGCTTCCCTTCCCTTAATCTACATATTTGCAAATATCCATAAAGGAACACGTGATTTCATTTATGTAAATTGATTGCCCATAATATTTAAATATGCAACCAACAATCAATTTTATAATTTAATATTTTCAAAGTGAGGACGTTGGTAAAATAAGAAACAATAATGAAGTAACAGATTAAGAAAAAATCTATTCATATGTAAAGTATATTAAGATTAAACTAACTATATTTCTAGAGTTAAGCAGTATTTCATTCATTCATAATCAAATGTCTACTTTATGCCTTGCAATACAAAACACATTTAACATTCTATTTTCAGCATAGTTTATTTCAAAAGAAATAAAGAAAAAGTCTTTTGGCCAGTTCCTAGATCCCAGCCTAAATGAACCTAATGCAATGTTAATTACAGTAACTTCTATGTAAACTAACTTGTTTACTAAAACTATATACGTAAAATGGTTCTGGATTAGATACTAAATACTAGAATGTTGTTTTAAAATATACTAATCAGGCTGGGGGTGTGTCTCAGAGGTAGAGAAAATCTCTCTTTCGGTATACCTACATATGCACACACATCAATACATATGCTTAAATGCACATTAATCTATTTCTATAGACTGTCAATTGGAAATACAACACAAGAAAACATTAAGGTTCATGAAATAATCTTCCAAGTCAGGAAGAGCCACAATTATGGTTTCAGAGTAGGTGAGAAAGACAAGATTCAGGCAGAAGGATTTTGAGCTGGAGGCCAGTCTACAAATTATAAGAGACATCTTGTCTCAACAAAACAAAGAAGGGGACTTCCTTCTCTAAGGTCTAGACAGACACATGTAGTTCTCACCTCTCATCAAGGGAACTTTTCTTTGCAACAGTCAGAGACCATTATAGAAAGTGACAACAGGTCAAAATACAAAATTAAAGAGCCTAGTCCCAAAGCAGACATCTACAACACAAATCCCACACCTATGGCTCAGGAATCATTGCAGAAAAGGGAAACCGTAAGAGCTCTGAGGTTATGTCTCCTAGAAAAGTCAGAAAATACACATGAAGTCCCACCAACATGGCTATCTAAATGTGAGCTAGAAAAGGATGATACCAAGAGGCATGTAAACATGGACAGGGCAAAACCTCACAAGGCTTGAACCTTACACAAAGAACTACAGACATCTAAGGGATGCTGAGAGTAGAAGAACAGTCTTCCCCAGGGAAGAGCACACCAATTGGTTATACCATACCAGAATAGTCAGCTCTGAAAACATACACAGAAGGAAAACACACACACACACACACACACACACACACACACACACACACACACACACACACGCTGCTGCCGCCGCCGCCACTGCCGCCACCAACAACAACAACCACAACCACAACCACAACAGTAGTCAAAGGAAAAGAGACCATGAATTTGAAAGACTGAGGAATGGGAGTACATGGGAGAGTCTGGAGGGAGGAAAGGGAAGAGGGAAATGATTTGACTGTACTATTATCACAAGAAAATATTTTTTAAAAAATGGGGAAGGAAAGATAATTACTTTAAGGAAAAACATACATGAAACAAGGAAAACTGCAAACACATTTTATTTCCTTCTTCACTAAGGAGGTCTATATGGCTCATGGTAACCATGATTATACTGATCAAATCAAATACTACCAGATTTAAAATATTTGAAAAACAGAAAAAATCGTAAGGCAGTCAGAAGAAGGAAGAGACTTAAACCATGATGACCTGTGCTGACGTTTGTCACAAGCCATGTGACTTTGATACATGCTTGGTTATGGCTTAGAGGATGTGTTACCCTTCAGTGATAATTATCCTCCTACAGACAGCTTTTCTCTTCCAGAAGCCCCCATAAAAATCAGTCTAGGTCTTCAGTGATTAGTACAAACTCCTGAAGCCTAGAGTCTTATTCTAGGGGCTGGAGAGATGGCTCAGCCCTTAAAGGCGAGGCTCACGATCAAAAATGTAAGAGTCTTGTTCTAGGTCACAGCGGTGTTGCCGTGGGGGTCTGTTCTGCACAAATGCTAGGGCAAATACTGACCCGTCAGGTGGAAGCCAAGCGCTAAAAGGATAGTCAGCATGGCAAGGAAAAAAATGCATTCTTCAATAGAGAGACCGTATCTGAGATCTTGGAAAGAAGAGGCATTCTTCTATAGAGACCTTAACGTCTGAGATCCTGGAGTATGTCTCACCTTTTATCTCACCACACAGAGGATTCCTACTGACTTCCAACTAAGTTCTGAGCAGCAAGTGAAAAAGAAAAAAAAAATAGAAGACCAAGTTCAGAGGCTGAAGGGACAGCTCCGTCAATAAGGTCCTTGCCGTGCAAGTATAAGGGCCTGGATTTGATCCCTAGGATCCATGTCAAAGCTGGCAGCGGTGCTGTATGTTATAGTCAAAGAGCTGGGAAGGCACAGACAGGAGGACTCCTGGGGCTTGCCGGACAGCTGGTCAGTGAGCCCTGTCAGTGAGCTCCACAATGCATAAGAAAGCCTTTCTCAGGTCGAGGGAACTACAAGACTGCTCCCAACTAACAATCTCAGCTTCCGTGGAAAGGCTATCATAAATGCCCTTCCCGGAGAGTGAGATCAACAACTAACTTCTCCATGGAGTCCTCAACTAATGCCTGTTGAAAACAGGAGCAAACACCCATACATAAACACTGAGTCAAACTAGAACCCAGAAGCAGATGGAGAGAGGACAAGACCATGCGGTAGAAGTACATAGAGACAGCTTACCTGAACAAGGAGGAGCTAAGGGCCACTAGACTGATAGCTGGGAAGCCAACAGGGGTCTGACTCGGACCCCCCTGAATATGGGTCTCAGCCAGAAGGTCTAAGCAGTCTAAGAGACCTCAGACAGTGGAGCCAGGATGTATCCCTGGTGCACAAAAGGACTTTGCAAACATATCCCCCATGGAGGGATAACTGCCTTATTCTAGAGATAGGAGAGAAGCCCTAGTCCCTACTTCACAGGACCTGTCAGATCTACATGACCCCAACTGGATGGCATTCCCCTACATATTGTATTGTGGTGGGGGGTTGGGAGGGGAGGGTGTTTAGAGTGCATGGGAGAGGGTAGAGAGGGCAAAAGGGAGGGAAGGAGGGAGGGAGGGCTTGGGGGGAGGGAGGGAGGGAGGGAGAGGGAACTGGGATCGACATGTAAAATAATAAAAAAAAAAAAAAAAAAAAAAAAAAACGCTTTGACTCCAAAATTTAAGTTGAAGAACAAGTTACTGGGGAAAAGTATTTCTATTTTTGTTTCCACAGAAAATGAAAAGATGTGGATTCCTTCCAGACTAATGTGGTTTGATCACACCAGACCGCCTGAAACAGAGTACAAGCTGATCCTACATTCCAAACAGCTGGACAAAACAGCCCTACAGACTACAGCTAGGATATCTGAATCTTATTCGAATCCCCCAAGACATCGCCCCTTACCAGCAGGAAGTAGTTTGGAAAGAACGATGCCCAAATTCCCAAATATTGTGTATAAATGTTTGTTTTCATTTAATTGGACTTTGTTATATAAAATTAAATAAAAAATACTCTATATGCATAAAAAAAAAAAAAGAAAGCCTTTCTCAAAAAAGGAGGTGCCAAGTAATTAAAGACATCCAGCATTGATCTACGCACACAAAACACACACACACACACACACACACACACACACACACACACGAATACATATATACACATTAGCTTATACACAGAGATCCATATAAAAGGAAAAAAGAGAAAACGAAAACTGGGATCCATAAGCCAGAAATTAAGAATAGACAACATACTTCTATGCTCAGTCAGAGGTAGGGGCTCTCATTCTGCCATCTAGCCTGTGCTTGAACATGTGAATTCAGGTGATTCTCCTGCCTCAGCCTCCTGACCTGTTTCCTTGTGTTGATGTGCAGTGTGGTATACCATCTCATTCTCTCATTCATTAAAAACACTTAGAGAGGACTATCAAGGAGCAGCAGAGGACAACACAAGAGAGAAGCGGAGGGTTCTGCAATGCCAAACACTAAGGGAGCCGGAGACACAACTGAGAAGCCAGATGACAATAGAAAAGGACAGGAAGCATACAGAATGCAGCTGGTGGGTGACTGAGCTCCAGCGCCGACCCTGTCACTGTGCACAGGACTCGAGGGCACAAATCCCTGTCGTTTCCTTCATCTATAAAACTCAATGGTTAGTGTCAGTATTATTCACAGTGCTGACACTGACTACACCGTGACAGACACTACTGGTGTGTGTGTGTGTGTGTGTGTGTGTGTGTGTGTGTGTGTGTGTGTGTATGAGAGAGAGAGAGCCTCTCCCCTCACAAGTTCTTGGCATCTTCTAGGGCTTTTATATAGATTACTTATAGATCACAATGCTATGATCACCCTTGAGTGTGTCAGACA